TCCTCCGTCCCGTAGATCGCCATAATAAACTGCGACCACAGCTCTTGAGCAAAATAATACAGCGTCGGCTCCTGCACTTCGGTCTGCGCAGCCACGCGCTCCGTTACCATTGCCACCTGCGGCGGAAACTCCTCAGGCGTCAAAGGCACCGTCTCCATATCGACGCTTACCTGCTCCTGTCCGCGCTTAAACTGCACCGTGCCCTGCATACCGCGCTTGCGCAGCGTTTGAAGCACCCTGAACTGCAGCAGCGGATGAAGGCGAGCCTGCATCAGCCACCCCACCAGCTTGTCGTCGATATCCGAGCCTTCCAGATAGGACAGCTGCTCGAGAGCGAGCATGGTCTGCTCCGATAAAGGCTCTTCCATGGCGGTGTGCAGCAGCTTGTCTGCGTAATGCTGGTCTTCGGCCAGCTTGGCCCGCACGTTCTGCCGTTTCATTTCTTCCTCGTCGGGCTCCTCCTCATGCTCATAAGAGTCCAAGCCTGCACCCTGCCCGCCGCCGTGATTCATATATTGTGGAAAAGCGGCTTCCAGCCATTCCAGAAGCGCCTGCCATTCTTCATAATGCCTCTCATCCTGCCCTTGGCACTGCAGCAGGAAACGCAAAAGCTCCATCGCTTCCCCGTACCGTTCATTTTCCAGCATGACGGTCAGCTGAATCTGATAGAAGTCGAGCGTCTTTGGAAAAAGAATGACGTTGTCCTTCGCTGGGGAAATATGTTCTTTAATATGTATTCCCTCCTTTCCCCGTGCTTGTGCAAATAATTGTTGATTATAGCATACCTCTTTCAACTTGAAAAAAAACATGTGAATGGACGGGGAATCCATTCGTTCTATGAAAAACGTATAGAAACCATTAATAATATAAACGGGGATTGAAACAACTTTTTTATCTTGCCCTAAGAACAGATGAGGGGGACTATGAGAAAGGAAAGAAAAACATATTGATATTATCAAAAATATATGTTATGATCTTTCTTGCTTGAATTTTTCATGTCCCAGTAGCTCAGCTGGATAGAGCAACGGCCTTCTAAGCCGTCGGTCGGGGGTTCGAATCCCTCCTGGGACGTAAAATGACACCACTCTTAGAGTGGTGTTTTTGCGTCCATAGGGATGAGAACCCCATTAGGGGGTTCGTCGGAGCATACGCTTCGATAGTACCCGCTACGCAGTCCGCCCGTTAGGGCGGTATCCCGAGCTGGGACGTGTTTTTGCGTCCATAGGGATGAGAACCCCTTAGGGGTTCGTCGGAGCATAAGCTTCGATAGTCTCCGCTTCGCAGTCCGCCCGTTAGGGCGGTATCCCGAGCTGGGACGTGTTTTTGCGTCCATAGGGATGAGAACCCCTTAGGGGGTTCGTCGGAGCATAAGCTTCGTTGCACCCGCTTCGCAGTCCGCCCGTCAGGGCGGTATCCCGAGCTGGGACGTTAGAAAGCTCTCCTTATTGGAGAGCTTTTTTAGTTCCAGAAGGGAATTGAGAACCCCTACAGGGGTTCGTCAGAGCATACGCTTCGAGAGCACCCGCTCCGCAGTCCGCCCATCAGGGCGGTATCCCGAGCTGAGACGTAAGAAAGCTCTCCTTATTGGAGAGCTTTCTTAGTTCCAGGAGGGAATTGAGAACCCCTCAAGGGGTTCGTAGAAGTTATACGCACCGATAATCTCCTCTTCTATAACCTTCGCCACCCATTCGCTCAGCTGAACACAAAAAAAGAGGACCCCAAGGTTACCCCGAGGTCCTCTCTATCTCATGCTTGTTACAGCTTCACGATTTTGCCTGTGTCCTGCGATTCAAACGCGCCCAGGATGACATTCAGGGAGCGCAGACCTTCTTCGCCGGAAATTTGCGGCGGCGTGTTGGTCAGGATCGATTCCACGAACGCGTCGATGACGCCGCTCGGCACTTGCTTTTCGTTCGTCGCCATGGCGCCGACCTTGTACGTTTCCACCGTGCCGTTGGTCAGCTCAACGATAACCTCGTCGCCTTCAACGGTTCCGATCTTCATGCAGCCGTTTTCGCACCAGAGCACCGTACCGTTGTCGCCGGAACGGTAGTGCGTCCAGCTCGCCATCAGCGTGCCCACAGCTCCGCTCTTCATGCGCACGATGCAGGTCGCATTGTCGTCCACGTCCGTACCTTCTTTATGTACGGTACCGATAAAGCCGGCGACTTCCACGATTTCATCGTTCAGCAAATAGCGGATGAAGTCGGATTTGTGCACGCCGAGGTCGCCCATAGCGCCCATGATCGCTTCATCCTTGCGGAAGAACCAGCTGTCGCGTCCATCGACGCTCCAGCTTTCCGGACCACCGTGGCCGAAAGACGTGCGGAACGTCAGCACTCTGCCGAGCTTGCCGGAATCCAGAATTTCCTTTGCCTTCACGTGCGGAGGCATCAGGCGCTGATTGTGGCCCACCATCAGGAAGACGCCGTTTTTGCGGGCCGCTTCGATCATCTGCTCCCCTTCTTCCTTCGTGGTCGCCATCGGCTTTTCCACCAGGACGTGCAGCCCGGCATTCGCTGCATCGATGCTCATCGAAGCGTGAAGGTAGTTCGGCGTACATACGCTGACGGCGTCAAGCTTCTCGTTCTTCAGCAGTTCCTTGTAGTCGGTGTATGCTTTGGCACCGTATTGTGCCGCCACTTCTTCAGCGCGCTCCTTGAGCGGATCCGCGAAAGCAACCAGCTCCACATTCGGGTTCGCTGCGTATTCAGGAATATGTCTGCGCTGGGCGATGGCGCCACAGCCGAAAACCGCTACTCTAATTTTACTCATGGATATAAATCTCCCTTTCTTCAGCTCTAATCTCAATCACATTAAAATTGGTTCAAGTAGTTCTGCTTCAGCCAGTTCATGCTGTTCTCCACGCTTTGCAGCGGAGGATTCTGACACACGTCCTGCTCGACGATCAGCCACTGCGTACCAGCATCGGTAGCGGCCTGAATGACGCCCGGCAAATTCACGTCCCCTTGACCAAGCTCAAGCGTCTTCATGTTGCCTTCGGCATCCTTGCTGAAGTCCTTCAGGTGAAGGAGCGGCAGGCGTCCGGCATATTTCGGGATATAGGTGAGCGGATCCTGTCCGGCAAACTGCACCCAGCATACGTCCATTTCCACTTGAACGGCTTCAGGCGAAGTGGAGGAATACATAGCGTCGAATACAAACTCGCCGTCAATCTTGTCCGCGAATTCAAAATCGTGGTTGTGATATCCGAAGGTCAATCCTTGTTTGCGCGCCTCGGTACCCACTTCCTCCAGGAAAGCAAACAGTTCCTTCCACTGCTCGATGTTCTCCCGGTCTTCCGGTGCAACGTAAGGACACATCATCGTTGTCGCGCCGATCGTTTTCAGGTAATCAATCTCTTTCTGCAGGTCGGCCCGAAGCAGATGCAGGCCCACATGAGCGCCGATCGCTTGAAGACCGAGCTCTTGAAGAAGCGTTTTCATTTCTTCAGCAGGAATGTCACCGTATCCAGCAAACTCCACACCTTCATACCCAAGCTCAGCCACTTTGCGAAGCGTTCCTCGGAAATCCTGAGCCGTTTCATCACGAAGCGTATACAATTGCAAGCCAATGTTCAATTTTTTCATAAAAAGGGCACCTCGTTTCCCAATAAAATGATTGCTCTATCTGCTACTATCATACATGCAAGTAAGCTAAAATGAACATAAACAATATGATTGCAACATGAACTATTTGCTTGTTTTTTTGAGAAAGGGGAGCACATGATGGAAGCCAGACTGCTGATTTGCGATTACTCCTACCATTTCCAGCAGTTCAGCAACAGCCACCGCGCGGGCTTGACGACCTATTTGTTCCGGCTGCAGACGGAAGGATCCTGCACCGTATTCTGCAACGGCACCGATTACCATGTCGAAGGCGGGGACCTACTGCTGCTGAAGCCGGGAGACGAATACGAGCTTATGGTGCATGAAGATGCCGGCGGGGGACGCGTCTCGAGCGGGGATTATTTTCTGTTTTGCGAAGGCGGCTGGATCGATGCCTGGTGGAGCCGGATGAGCCGGCCGGTCGTCAGCCGGATTGGCAGCGACGATCGCCTGCTCGGTCTGTGGAGGCAGCTGCTGCTAGAAAAAAGGCGCGGCCTGGAGGGGGAGAACGTGGAGCTCACCGGTTATCTGCTGCGAAGCTTGTGCCTTTGCCTGGACCGGGCCATCACGGAGACGAAGCCGGCGAACCGCACCGCTTATACCGCGCTGAGGCTGAAGCGTTTTGTCGAGGAGCATGCCACCGTTACCTTTAAATTGGAGGAAGCCGCCGCCCATGTCGGTCTGAGCCTGTCCAGAGCCGTGAAAATCTTCAAGGAGCAGTACGGCAAAACGATGATCCAATACGCCTTGGAAATCCGGCTGAACGCTGCCATCGAACGGATGAAATACAGCACCATGACCCAGGAGGAGATCGCTGAAACCTGCGGTTTTGCCAGTTATTCTTACTATCACCGCGTATTCCGCAGCACCTATGGGATGTCGCCGGCCCAATACAGGGAGAGCTTCGCACCTGATGCCAAGCCGCAGCCGGACAAATAAAATCGCAATGGATTTATGAACAATTGCTTAACAAATCAGGTGTTGAATCCCTGTTGTTAAGTAGTTGTTTATTTTTATTGTTTTAGTGAAACTTTTCGGGTCCTATAAATTCGAAACCAGAATAAGGCCAACAATAGAAATATGATCGAAACCCCAAAATAAAGATAAATAAATCCGTGCTGATATTCTAAAAGTAAATAGCCTAGAAGCGGGCCTAATGCGGCACCTACATCCTGCACTACAGAATAGCGTGTCAAGAACATGACTGAATTGGTTGATTTTGCAAAATCTCCAGCCAGAGCATCCATTAAGGTGGTTAATGCCGTTGCTGATAACATGGAAAGAAGGACAAGCGTAATCCAGGTAGGAATATTAATAGGAATGGATAAAACCCCATACGTTGCAAAAGATAAAATTAACGAAAGAATTAATAATGGAACTCTACCTTTAGGACCATCAGACCAATGACCAATACGACCCGCTAAAAATGGTTCCCATACCCATCGAACAGACTGAAGAATACCAGATAATGCCGTAACACTAATGACAATCCCCAGTAAGCTAATATGTTCACCGAAATGATGTTGAATCAAATTGCTTAATGTTGAGGTAAAAACTCCTTGAATAAACATGGTTATAAAGAAGCTGCTAATCATTAAAATCCAGATGCTGCTATTTGAATATATGACTGTGCCTACGCGATTTTGTTTGTTTTTCGCTGGATCTGAATCGCGGTTTTGGTTTTTAGAAGATCTAATCAATAACGGAACACCAAATAACGAAACGACACCAAAAAGAATGGCGACCACTTGGAACCCAAGCAGTGGAGCAAGCATTCCGCCTACTAACATCCCTACCAAACTTCCAATTCGATACAAACCGTTATAGATCCCCATCGCTTTTCCTTGTCCCTCATCCTGCGACAATTGGACAACTGTAGATAAGCCTCCGATTCGAAAAAAGGACCACGCAATCCCCCATAAGCATCGAAGGATAATCCAGCCCAAAAAACTGGTAACGACCCCATAACCTATCGTCGTTAAAGAACCAATCATGATAGCTATGATGAGTCCAGCTCTTAATGAGACCTTTTGATACAATCGTCCAACCAGAGGATTAGCCGGCAATCTAATAAAGCGGTTAATCGATAATAAAAATCCTACCTGCCAAAGGGAGTCCAGTCCTGCTTCTCTCCAGAAAATCGGTAATGCAATATATAACATCGAATCACCCAACAGGCATAATGCAGTGACAATAGCAACGACCCGTATCTGATATTGACGCTGTTCGTTTGAATGCAAGAAGCTTCTCACCTCAATGATGATATGTATGCAATCATTTTTGATTTACCACAAAATTACAATATCAGCTCATTTCCTTCGTATCAATAAGAATCAATAATGAAAAATTTAATCATTTCGCTTTACTAAACTCGTCAGAATTCCAATCCATGCAAAAGAAAGCAGCTCCTTAGAGCTGCTTCAACATCGTTCATTTCTTTAACAGCACGGGAGCCTATCACGA